ACACAGTCACTATTATTATTATTGTGTATTATCGGTGGTTATTCATTATTGTTTTGCTAAGTTAAATAGCGCTGCACCTCCCCCCCCTTTTTTATATATTTATGTCATTGAAGGTTTGATACGGTGCCTTTTTTGGTGTACAGCCGCTGCTTATTATATTATATATTTACATAAGCGCTCACTTATCTTCTGCTTTTCTTGATTAGTCTGTAATAGGTGATGGTTACAGGAGATGTTAGTGACTTCACGTTCCAGGTGGCGAGGTGATAAAATAGTTAAAATAAAAGCTTCCACGGTGGTACTCGGGGCTATCCCAAGAGAGACAACCACTGACCAGACCAATATCAAGAGGGGGAGAGTCTGTTACAAGCGGTTCAGCTCATCCATCCCATCCCATGAGGGGGACCTCTGGTTATTGATTATATGCCCATATAAAGATACGCATCTGGTGAGTGCGTATTTTAACTATTTTATCACCTCGCCACCTGGAAGGTGAAGTCACTAACATCTGTAACCATCACCTATCACAGACTGTCACCATTTTTTATAAATTTATTTTAACATAGAGATTTTATTTATTCACGACCATATGTTCAGCTGGTTTATGGATTGGAAATATTAATCTGTATTTGTTTAAGCGCTGCACTTTCTTTTTAAGTATTCTATGAGCTTTTATTCTGGTTACCTTTTCGGGCTTTTAGCTGCTATACTATCACTAAGCACTCACTGATTATATTGTTTTATTCTTCTACAAGTGCTCACTACCATAGAAACCTGCCAAGGTCCTTGAGTCAGCGACACCTGGCTAAAGACAGACGTGGGTGCAATTCGCTTTAAAACCTATTAGGACTAAAGACACCCCTCCTGGCTATTTCAAGATTGAATGTAATTCTGTTATTCTATTGTTTATATTAGAGGTTAACAAAATGGTTGCTGTGGCAGTCTGTGTTTTTATTTGAGAAAAATCTAGTGAAAGAACAGTGACCGATATTTGATGAATCCCTCAGTCAAGTCTGATCATTTCAAAACACAAATATACACAAAAATCTCAGATGAAACCAGCAGTAGGAGCAGAGATCCCTTCCAGCTACTGGAGTCTGATTTCTTCCGGTCTACAAAAAGTGTACATGAGAACATACAAATATTTCCTTAGTTAAAGGTGAATTTGAGCAGGTCTGGCCTGGGGCACCTTCACAAGGGTTGAACACTCCCCTGGTATTTATAGAGCCCTGAGGTGCTGAAATTCAGGACAAGAATATGTTCTAGGGAGAAAATAGAATGACTTTAAATGATAATTGCTTGTAGCCAAATAACCCCCTTAAAGAGAAACTTAGTGTACTTTAAAAGATAAGTTCACCTTTTGCATCATGTTAAAAAGTGACATTTAAAAAGTGACAGTTCGTGTGTGGGGGGGGGGGGGGTGATCAGGCAGTGGCTGCAGCATTGGGAACATGTTACATGTGCCACCCTAAAATGGGTGGCACATGTAACATGTTCCCAATGCTGCAGCCACTGCCTGATCACCCCCCCCCCACCACAGGCTGACTTTTTAAATAGTACGTGGCCATGCGGGGCTTCACCCACGTCATTCATTCACAGAGATCTATGAATTAATGAACTACAAGTCCTGACAGCCTTAATGGCTGTTGGCTTATAGTTCTCAATGAACTCCCATGGTGCTGTGGAGTGCCGTCGTAGTTCATTGATTTTTCCTGTCAGTATATCTGCTTGCCTGTACATCCTGTATGGGTAAACAGATATACTGACAGATCTGCATGGCACCATCGATATACGCTTTTAAAAACAAAAGGGGCTTTACAGCGACTTTAACTTTTAATGTTTTTTATTCTTTGCTAGAAAATTTCTTAGAATCCCCAAAAATTATATATTTTTTTTAAAGCAGAGGCCCTAGAGAATAAATTAGTGGGTGTTGCAATTTTTTATGTCCCACAGCATTTGCACAGCGGTTTTCAAATGCAATTTTTTAAAAAACAGCACACTTTTTTTAAAAATTTGAATGCAAAGAAAAAACACAATATGTAACCCCAGTTTTGTGGTAAAGATGATGGTAGGCTGAGTAAATAGATACCAAACATGTCATACTTTAAAAATGTGCCCACCCGTGCAACGGCAACAAATTTTCCTATCCATCGGCGACTATCCAAACCCTTTGTAGGTTACCACTTTAGATTTACAGAGCAGTTCTGGTTCTAGAATTATATTCCATGATCTGAAGTTCGCAGTGATACCTCATGTGTGGGATGATCGCTGTTAGCATGTGTGCGAGACTGACACATGCATTCGCCTTTGCGCGCCAGCACAGGGGGATGGGAATGCTTTAAAAAATATAGTATTTTTTGTATTTTACACTGTTGCCTTAATTTTTTTTATCACTTTTATTGCTGTCACAAGGAATGTAAACATCCCTTGTGACAGCAATAGGTGGTGACAGGTACTCTTTATGGAGAGATCTAGGGTCAATAAGACCCCAGATCCCTCCTCTGCCCTTAAAAGCATTTGATCACACCAAGATCTGTGTGATTAAATGCTTTCCATTTTTAAAAATGGAGCTGGGGAACCTGGACGTGATGTATGGTCATCGCTTCTTGTTTCCTATCTCATAGAGGTGGATAGAGGGGTTCTGGTCTTTGTCTGCCTCTCAGAGGTGTAGTTAGAACCTTCAGGGCCTTATTGCAAGAAATCATGAAGAGCCCCTGGGGCCCTTTTCATCGGGACTTTTCCCACTGATCATTAGGCCCTTTATTATGGTCCCACAGCGAGCCATTTTCCTGTCATCTTGGGGCCCTCCCATGGTGGTGGAACACTGGTGACCAGTTCACAAGTGTAACCTTTGAGACCCTGATAGTTCCGCCACTTGGTTAATTGTGTGTAGTCACCAGGAATCTTCTAGCAATGAAAGTTTAATTGCTAGAAGATCTCTGGTGACAGAACATGATTAACCCTTTTATTGCTGGCAGATGAGATCCCAGTTGGAAGTGCATGATTAACCCTTTCAGATCTGTGTTGGAATCATATGATTAACCATTTCACTACTAACCGATCCCAAATGGAAATGCATATTTCCACCAGGGATATGCTAGCAATAAAAGGGATAATCAAACACTTCTTTGTACATACACTGTATGATTGACCCTTTCATTGCTAGCAGATCCCTGGTGGAAATATGCATTTCCATTTGGGATTGGTTAGTAGTGAAACGGTAATCATACACTTCCAACGCAGATCTGAAAGGATTAATTATGTACTTCCAACTGGGATTTCATCTGCCAGCAATAAAAGTGTTAACTATGTCCACTCACTATCTTCTAGCAATAAAAGTGTTAGCGTGTGCTTCCTGATCACTATCTCTCCACTACTGCTACACAACACACATACCAGCCCTGCAGCCTTCTCTCACAACAGCACACCTGTGGAAAAGGGTGATCACCTCCGAGGTTAGCCACACACGCTCCTCGAGTACCACCCAATCACTGCGAGCCTTGCAGCAGACTCCGCCTCAAGGTTGGAGATGAGTCGGACACTGGGAGCTGCCTGATCTCTGCTGGGGGAGGAGCTACCGATCTGTTCCTGGCATGCTCTGCAGTGGGTTCTGCTACTGCCGCCTCTATGATCAGCCAGCTAGTCAATGGGGACAGCCCGCTGGAGGCGGCATGAGGGTGGCTCTAAACAATGCTGCTTGCCAACAGCAAGGCTAAATGTAAAACAAAACGTCTTGTCTGGCACTCGAAACTGCTTGTCCCGAGCGTCGGGCAATAAGAAATCAACAACCCTGGAAGGTTCGGGCTACTCTGTGCAATACTACTGTACACAGCTGATAAGTATAACATGTTTGTTATTTTTTACAATAAAAAATTCAGCTCTACAACCAATTTAATGAAAGCACAGAGCTCAGGATTAAAGAAAGCACAGAACTCAGAGGGTCGGGATTAAAGTACGCACAGAGTTCAGGGGTCAGTATTAAGGAACTCGCAGACTTTAGGGTTAAGGAACTCACAGTGCTCAGGAGTCAGGATTAAAGAATGCACAAAGCTCTGGGGTCAGGATTAAGGGACACTGAGCCCTGGGGATCAGGATTAGGTAAAGCACAGAGCTCAGGATGAAGGAGCTCAAGGATCAGGATTAAAGAATGCACAAAGCTCAGGGGTTAGGATTAACCAGTTGTGGACCAGCCATTGTAGCTTAACTGCTGCAACCGCTCTGTGCAGGAACAAGCACGCACGCCCACACACTTCTGCTGTCATTGGCTCCCTTACACGGCAATCACCGGGTCCCGGCCAGCGATTCATGCAGAAAAACTGACAGGAGAGAGATCTGTGAATGTAAACAACACAGATCTCTCTCCTGTCAGCGGGGATGCGCTGGTCTTTATCTCCCTGTACAGCGGGGAATAAAAACTAGCACATCCCCTAGTAAAACAGCACAGAGTAAAAACACTACCTGGCACACAGTTAACATTTTGATCTCCTCAGACGTTAACCCATTCCTGCCCAGAGTCATTAGTATAGTGTCTTGCTTTTTATTAGCACCGTTCACTGTATTAGTGTCACTGGGGATGTCAGTGACAGATCCCTCCCAGTGTCAGAATGCCCGCCACAGTCCCACTATAAGTCGCTGATTACTGCCAATACTATTATTCAATTTAACCACTAGCCTACAGGGCACTTATACCCCCTTCCTGCCCAGGCCAATTTCCAGCTTTCAGCACTGTCACACTTGTCATTTTTTTTAGACAGATAGAGCTTTATTTTGATAGAGCTGTATTTAATCACCTCTGGGATTTTTATTTTTTCTTAAACCAAAAACCACTGAAAATTTTGAAAAAAAAAAGTTTTTTCTTAGTTTTTGTTATACAATTTTGTAAATAAGTGATTTTTCTCCTTCACTGATGTGATCTAATGAGGCTGCAGTGATGGGCACTGACAGGCATCACTGATGGGCACTGAAAGGCAGCACTGATACATGACACTGATATATGGCACTGATAGGCAGCACTGACTGGCACTGATAGGTGGCACTGATTGGCAGCCCTGACAGGTGGCACTGATTGGCATTGATAGGTGGCACTGACTGTAACTGATGGGTGACATTGAAAGGCAGCTCAGATGGGCACTGATATGTGGCATTGATGTGCACTGGTATGCACTATGTGGCATTGATGTGGCACTGACAGGTGGCACTTCTGGGGCCACACTGATCATCAGTGCCCCGAGGATCAGTGTACATGTCCCCTCTGCGGACAGCCGATTACCGGCTCTCCTCTCGAGCTGTCAGCGTGACAGCTCGAGAGGAGAGAAATGCCGATAACCGGCATTTCCATGTTTACATGTGATCAGCTGTGATTGGACACAGCTGATCACATGACTGAGCCAACATCTTCGGTTCTTTCCATGATCCGCTGTGTCCCTCGATCGCCACGCATGCGCAGTGACAATGGTAGGACGTCATATAACGTCCTATCAGAACGAGAGAA